GACCAACAAGCGTGGGTATGATGCCAAGAGGCAGGAACTGGGCAAGATTCGCAACAGGATTGGTGTACTGGAAAACCAGCAGAAGAACAAGCCCGCGGAGTTCAACCCTCAAGAACACAACACCCAAATTGTACGTTCAATCCTGGTCCTGAATCATGATCCTGGAGGCTGAAGCTAACTTGAACGTAGCGGGAAAAAGAGCATCAGCTTCGCGAAATGGAGGCCGAGACGCGTCAAATCGACGGAAAACTGAGAGATATCAAAGAACAGGGCCAAGCAAAGAGCCACATCAGAACCAAGCTCAAACAAGATCTCGAGAATCTCGATTCCCAGCAGGGGCAGCTTCTCAACTTTCTGCAGAAGAAGTTCCCCGATGTTGCCAAGGGCTGGGCCTGGCTGCAAGAGAACGGCGATCAGTTTGAAAAAGAAGTCTTTGGACCACCTGCTTTGTGCTGCTCCGTCAAAGATGAGCGGTATTCGGACCAGGTCCAGGCACTGCTGCACATGGACGACTTCCTTTGTTTCACCGCGCAAACCAGAGAGGACCACAAGAAGCTGAGTGATGTCTTCTACAAGCAACTCAGTCTCTCCGTCAACACACGCTCCATCTTGAAGCCCCTGGATGATTTTAAACCTAGGATGTCACGGGAACAAGTCAGATCTTTCGGTTTCGATGGTTTCGCAATCGAGATGCTGTCGGGTCCGGAGCCAGTTCTTGCGATGCTTTGTAATGAAAAGAAGTTGGACGTATCTGGCATTGCAGCGGGAGAAATCAGCGATGCTCAGTACGAGCGTCTGGTTCAAGATGCTGTTATCAACAGTTGGTCAGCTGGCCGGCATCTATACAGAGTGTCTCGGCGCAGGGATCTTGGCCCCCAGGCGGTCTCCACAATGACCCGAGGCATCTCCAAAGGCGTGTTCTGGACGGATCAACCTATTGATGAGGCAGAGAAGAATGACATCCTGCGCCGCCTGAGGGAAGTCGAGGCGGAGTTCGGGGAGTTGAAGACGCAGAACACGGAACTCAAGGAACAGCTTACCGCGATAAACGGGAGGAAGAAGGAGACACAGGAAGATCTCGTAAGTCTGATGAAGGAGATCTACGGAGCAAAAGTTAACAAGGCGCCAGAAATTACTCAGAGATCGAAAGAACGAACTGCAGAAAGCACACAATGCCTACCAAGCTATTCCCATCAAACTTGGTAAGGAGCCTACATGGTACTAAGTAGTTTCCACCACTGACGCATCTTTGCAGAGTCTGAAAAGAAGTCACTGGAACAGAAGAGGGCAGAGGTCGAAGAGGCGAGATCAGCCAGTTCCAAGCTGGATGTCGACAGAGACAATGCTACAGTGAAAAAGCTCAAAGCTGTCCTCCGCCATCATGCGGCAATCGCCGCGATTCGGGATGCCCAGGAGGAAGTGCTTGAGGCTCAGATTCGTGAGATCGAGGCCAAGTCTGATGTCACGGGTCTCAAGGCTAGGAACACCGACCTGATGCAGCAGCTTGAAGATGAGAAGCGACATATCGGTGCCATCGCGGAAGAATCTGCGCGATGCAGAGCCCGCGCTGAAGCAGCCAGAAGCAAAGTGGCTGACTTATTCCATGACGACCCAAGCAGGAGAGAGCTCCTTGAAGAGCTGGCCAAGGAAAAAACTGTCGAGGACGTCGACAACGAGATCGCCGCTGAAGAAGGCAAACTCGAGCTCATACATGTCACCAACCCCGGCGCCCTGCGCGAATTTGAGAAGCGCGCTCGAGAAATTGAGAAGCTGCGCCAGAGAATGGAGAGCTCGACGAACAAGCTGGATGAGCTGAACCTCAGGATATCGCGGATCCGCGACAAGTGGGAGCCAAAGCTTGACGAACTTATCAGCAAGATCAACGACGCGTTCAGCTACAACTTTGAGCAAATCAACTGCGCCGGCGAGGTTCGTGTTCATAAAGATGAGGACTTTGATCAGTGGGCCTTGGATATCATGGTCAAGTTCAGGTATGTTTTAACCCGCGTTGAAATATAACGGATCAGCTGACAGCAAGCAGAGAAAACGAGACACTCCAACAGCTCAACCAGCATCGTCAATCCGGAGGAGAGCGTGCCGTGTCTACTATTTTCTACCTCATGGCCCTCCAGTCCATGGCGCAGTCTCCGTTCCGTGTTGTGGATGAAATCAACCAGGGTATGGACCCTCGCAACGAGCGCATGGTACACGAGCGCATGGTCGAGATTGCGTGTCGCGAGCACACATCACAATACTTCCTCATCACACCCAAGCTTCTCACAGGATTGCGCTACGACCCACGTATGCGTGTTCTCTGCATCGTAAGCGGAACGCATATGCCTGAGGACGGTAAAAAGCTGGACTTTGGCCGCTGCTTGCAGATCCACAAGCAGGTGACAGCCAGCGCCTAATCTCGGCGGAGCTCGGCTCTGTGGGGACCTATCGAATTATAGTCATTTGGCCGGAGTTTTTGGGCGTTGGTGAGGGCAAGTGTCAAGAGGTCACGATACCCTGGGTTGCGTCCGGTAGGTTTTAGACGGCACAGGAAGAGCAGAGGGTTCAAGCTCGTTCATGATGCTGGGGCTTGGTGGTGATCTTTGCATCACTCATGCTGGTGTATCATTCCATCTTTTAGAGCGACAGTGCTGCATGTAGAGGAACAATGCTAAAGGGAGAAGCCTTCAGGGCTTACATGAAGACATCTAAGAGTTTTCCCGCCTTTGTCAAACTCCCGCCTTTGTCGCGTCTACACATCCACCTGGACGGCGATTCGCTTCGGAGCGTTTTTGGCAACAGGGATAACCCAAGCAGCATATCGGCGAAGCATGCTTGGCTCTCCCGTCGAGATCGATACCTATGTTCTACAACTCATTTGCCGGGGGGTTTCAAGAGCCCACAGACTAGCGAAGGCGCTAGACACGAGGGCATTGCGCAAGACGTCGCTTCGTGGACATGGATGATTCGATGCCGGAAGAAACTCGCTTGTCTTGAGGCGAGCGGCGAGTGGGGACGGTCATGGTCTTCTCGGCCGACGTCTACGATGACACAAATGCCGGGACAAGGAGTGTATTCTAAAGGTCCCGGCCACTCAGCCCGGACCGCGGCACTCTTCTTCTTACATCGCCTCCTCATCTCGTCCGCCTCGCCGTCTGGCCCTCTCGAGGGCCCGGGCCAACCCCGTACCTCAGCTTCTCCATCCCATGACGCTCAATCCCCTCACCATCTCCTCACGAGACCCCAAAGTCTAAAGCCCAACGACCTGCTTTCGTCACAGATTCTCCGCCAAAACCCAGATCGTGTCGGTGATCCGGGCTTCCAGAGTGTGGGACGCCTTTCTAGTGAGACGGCCTCGAGGTCACTCAAGAAATATCTCCTGTCAGTCGAAATACGTCGCCAATTTGCCTGCTCGGAATCCTTCAGCAAATCTGACGCTGTGGGGCTGGTTTGAACATCGGCCGCTAGACCAAAGTCCCGGAACGGCTCATGTTGCCTGATGTAGAATAAATGAGCTGACGTGAGAAGTGTATTCTTGACAAGACGGCCGTGCTATTGGACAATCTGTTATGGCGGAAAAGGCTGTAACATCCCATCTCTAACTGACCTGCCCGCACCCCGATTCCGTCCATCTGCTACAAATCCCTGAATCAGTCTCTATTACACTACTTCCTCCCATCCTTCTACAAACCCCAATAGCTCTTACTTCCTGTCTCGATTGTTTCTTTCATCCAACATCAACTCAGTGATACCCCCTCATCAAATACCAGTTCATAATCAACCACCATTACGTTCAGTTGAACCACCACCGCCGCCATGGAAGCCCTCCGCTCAAAGATCCAGGCCCAGATCCCGGAAAACATCAAGCAGCTCCCCTCAACCTTCAAGCCAAAGCCGCCCACGCACCTCGAGAACGGCGCGGAGTCCATCCCCGCCTCGCTCGCGCCCACCGTCGTGTCCCCGACGCTGCCCACGCCCAGCATCGGCCACGAGGGCGCCGTCTTCACAATCGCCTACGCGACCCCGATCGCCAAACCGCCCCTGGCCGTCCTCGCCACCTTCATCGACCCGTCCACCTACCCCTCCTGGAACCCCATGTTCCCCAAGGTCACCGTCACCAAGCCCGCCACCGGGCCCGTCCCGCCCCTGCTCGCCGAGTCCACCGTCGCCAAGCACAACCCGGCCGACCTCATGCTCCAGGGCGCCCAGGTCGCGTTCGAGGTGCACCTGACGCTGGACCCGGCTCGCGTGACGTCCAACTCGCCGTGCATCATCACAAAGATCGAGGACTTCCACAAGGTGACGACCTCGTCGGCCGGCGAGGAGCACAAGGGCCGCAAGGGGTACCGCGTGGTGTGGAAGACGACGGGGTACACGCCGCCGACGTTCCTGTTCAAGGCGGAGCGCGTGCACGAGTTCCTCGAGAGCGAGGACGGCACCGGCACCGAGTACCGCCAGTACGAGACCTTCTTCGGCCCGCTGGCGCACGTCGTCAAGCTCACCATGGTCGGGCAGCTCGAGTCTGCCTTCGCCGCGTGGATGGACGGGCTGAAGCGGTTCGTCGAGGCCGGGGGGAACGTGGCGGCCGCCAACAACACTGATGGCGCGACTGATGCCGCAGCTGCCCCCGCTTCTGCTGCCGCGGCCGCTGCTACCGCTGCCTCGTGAAGCGTGGTGACCCTTGATCTTTGGGAGACCATGTTGCGACTGGCTTTGCTTTGAGAATTTTGACGGCTCGCACATACGAAAATGGGGTGGACAGAAATTATACCTGTTGGAGGAGAGTTGAGAGTCGGATCTGAAGGTGCGTGTTTATATGTATGCTAGTAGCTTGATACCTGTCCATAACCGGCAACAAGGAGTTCTTTTGACATGTATGAACAAGGGGTTACAGGTGTGTTATGAGCCACTTTCCTATTTATGCCCTCGGGGAGGCCGGCATTGTCGCAGTGAAAGAAATCCGTCTCCATGACCTACACCTCCACGATGCACTGGTTGGTCCCCATCTACAACGACGCAACAGCCTCGGGCTTGAAGTAAACCGACATGACGCCGCCGACGGTGAGGTTCTCCTTGACGAAAGACTTGAGGGCGCCGTGGGCGGCGCACTCGTCGTCGTAGTACTTCATGTCTTCGAGCGAGGCGAACTCGGTCTTGGCGACGATGGTGAAGCCCTGGGCGCGGGGGTCGTCGACGGCGGGGCCGACGACCATGGAGAGGATGTACGGCTTGCCGTCCTGGGTGTTATTTGTTAGCTTAGTGACTCAGGTTCTAATTGCCTCGCTCGTCTGCTTTGGTCACCATCTCTCATAATTTGCTTGAATTCTAATGATGCCCTTGCCCAATATCTTGCTCCGAGAGAGACAGGTTGTCTGAGAAAAGCCAATGGAAGGGCGTCAGGATGCAAGTCAAGCTACCTTCTTCTGGGAGTCTCCGAGCTTCTTGTACTGCTCAATCAACTGCTTCTTCTGCCCCTCGTCGGCAATCTTGAACATGGTGACGCGATGAACCCGGTCCGCCATTTTGATCGTCTCTCCGTCAAGCTGTCTGAGTGTAGAAAAGGTCTTCGGACTCCTCAAGGGCGCTCCTATCCGTCGAAAGGCAGGCGGTACGAAAGAAGATGTCTTTTGTGTTTTGAAGGGACCTGTCTCTGTCCTGGTCGTCGTTGTCGTCGAGAAGTGGTGGTAGCCGAAGCCGGAAGCGGAGGTTCGTAGCGGGGTTCCGTTGATGTTCCGAAGCCGATGGATACAGGTATGGCGGAAGGTGAAGGCCGGGGAGACGGGGGGCATGGCTTTCCTTTTAAAAAAAGAGAGTCTAAGGAGACGGAAAGAGGCGGCGGAAGAGGTCTCTAGCGGGGAGGAGGGGAGTGTGCAGCAGAAAGAGGCTCTCGGATCATCCCCAATTGCTACTGCGTAAGGTACGGGCGGCAGGGGGCGTGGCGGCGGCCGGCTCACACAGCAATGAGGATGGATGGATGGATGGATGGATGCGTGCGTGCGGGTTTGTCGGTTGAAGAAGGCGCGGCGGCGCGCTGGGACGGAGTCGGGTGGAAGAGGTGCAGTGAGTGTGCATTGAGGGTGGTCCATGCAGAAGCTAAGCTCCCCGAGCTACCTGTGTACCTATCGTGGGACCTTGCTTATGTTTGGGGACAGGGTACCTCTGCTCCACCTGTGCCTGTCGCTTCGCAGGATACCTAGGACATCTTCGCCGGCAGTTTACATAAGTGAAAGCCAAGTCCTCTTCAGATTCTTATTCATGTGAAATAGGTACTGTGTGTTTGTGTCAGCAGAAGACCCCAATCCTACGGGTGGGTTGAAGCTTCAGATGCGGATACCCGGACCGCCCCACGAAGCTTCAACCCACAGGCCGACACTTCCATTACATACTGCCATACACCTACCTAAGGTCCCTACCTCAGCATGCCTTGGCGCTAAGATTGGACTGAGGTGGTTATCGGCGGTGCCTTTCTGTCGACTTCAGATCGTCCCATCAGCAGTGCCGAGGGCTGCATTTCCCTCTCACCTACAGACTCCACTCCCTATCAGACAGCCCACATCACCCGTGTCTTCCTGCCCGTCCCCAGGTTTCCCCGTGTAGGTAGGGCGGAACCATTGACAGCATACGCTCGCTCAAAACATCACCTTCATCCTACCATGACCTCAGAGCTTCAACGCATCTTGAAGGTCCACATGTCTCAATAAGAAAAACCACCATCGGGGCTTACATCGGCTCTGGCCCCCGCACCCAAGCCCCGCGAACGTCCGCGGTGGTGGGGCCGGTAGCTTCTTCGTTGCAATCTGCAATCTGCACCTGCACCCGCACCCGCACTTGTACTGTAAGGTGCAGCTGCAGTCCCCCTCACCCCTCCCCTCCTTCAAAGCCAAGACTCAGGAAGAAGAAACCCCCTTCCCGCCAACCAATCACGAATTTCTCCGTCTCGTCTCACACTCTCTCTCCTCGACCTCCTTCCTTCCCTCCTACGCCAGACGACTTCACCTCATCCACTTACACTACACTGACTTACAGCTGACTTACACGAACCTCACCTGATGCGCTTGTATGTAATGGATTGTCTTGGTTTGTGGACTGGACTGGACAAACATCATTTGCCAAGCAGGCACACCCGTGACGAGACGGGAAAATTTCCCAACGCCTCCTCACAAGAAGCAGACAAGCCTTCCCAGAGTGCGGCTTGCAACCCGCCAAAGGGACACTGCGGCGGACCCGACGACCCCTGAAAAGCCTCGGCCAAGCCACGAGACTCATACATCGTCCCTGGGGTAGGGGACGCAAAATCCCGTGCGTTGTGTGGTTCACATCTTCTAATTGCGGGCATTTCTTATTAGGCCGTGGTATTATTCCGTCTCATCATCTAGGCCGTTGATGCCCATATGCTCATAGAGAACGCTCAAATGCGCCTTTCCCTGAAAGCATTCCCGGGAGAACATCATCTCTCATCTACGCCAACTGCCCTAACACCTATAGACGTGGCCAGATTGAACCAAATCGTCAATGCCAAGGTTCCTGGCCAAGCTCTCGCGTGTGGCATCCAAATGCTACAAGTCACCCCTGTTTGGCGGCCAAGCCTGGTATCTTTCGTTCTTCCCACCAACGGTCACCGCATGACATGAAAAAGGTGCAACCGTATCAGTATCCGGAAGCACTCCCAAGTTCCCGAGCCCAGTCCTGCTGCGGCCCCCCTTGAAATTCCCCAAAACGCCATATCCGTCTTTGCATAGACCGCCAGCTCTTGGTGGTCCATGTGATCAATCCCGCCATTACCCCCCCCCCTTTGTCTACATCATCCTTGACCAGCCATTATAGTACGGGCGACGCTGGAGACAGTCCCCCCATCCGACGGACGACCACCTGCATCTTCTCAATCAGCTCCGGCATCCGATAGGGCTTGACGAGCACGTCGTCACACCCCGCGCTCTTGGCTTGTTGCATCTGCTCCGGCCTGGCGTTGGCGCTGACGGCGATGATGGGAATTCGGCCGCCACTGGCGCAGAACACCTGCCCTTCGCCTTCCAGCTCTCGAATGCGTCTTGTGCATGTCAAGCCGTCCTGGATTGGCATCTCTATGTCCATCAGGATCATGTTGATAGGCACAGGGGGGCCCTGAATGCTCGAGACGCTGCGGCTAAAGTACTCCTGTTCCTCCTGATGCTGCAGCGACGTGGACTGCATGAGCCTTTCCAAAGCTTCGACGCCGTGATTGGCCACATCAACCTGGAAGCCTCGGTCGCAGAGGCCTCTCCTGGTGATCTGCTGATTGATTAGGTTATCCTCCACAACCAGAATGCCATCGAGGCGAGGATCGGGGATGTTTGGCTTTGGTCGTGAGCCATGTGTCCTCTGGTCGTTTGCGTTGGATTTGGTCCTCGGTGCCGAGAGTGGAGTGCTGGTTGCAGTGGCCGCTGTTGTCATTCTTACAGCCGCGGCCACAGACTCGGCCTCTCTCCTCGATGCTTCCGACGGGACGTACGCCTCGATGAAGAAGGCAAACGTCGATCCAACACCTGGCAGGCTTGATACGCCAATCGCGCCCCTTTGCAGCTCCGTCAGGCGCCTTGATATGAACAAGCCCAGACCGGAACCGCCGTATTTCACATGTGTACGCGAGCTTGCCTGCACAAACCTGTTGAAGAGGTTCGCCTTCTCATCTTCCGAGAGACCCTGGCCGGTATCCTTCACCTCAAATATGAGATACACCGGGTCCTTGCGGTCGTCAAGGGCGGGCTGTTCATATTCCGATTCCTCTTTGCATGACCGCGGGATGAAAGTGACCGCAGAATCTTCGTCCGTGGGCCGTGTTCGGGAGGCTTTGATGCTGACTGATACATTCCGAATGGAGCCTGACTTGGTAAACTTGAGGGCGTTGGTGAGTAGATTGATGAGAACTTGCTTGACGCGAGACGGGTCGAGGTCGAGAAAGTTGTAGCCGAGCTCTCGGTAAGACTTATCAACCTTCATATTGAGGTCGATATCCACGCGACGTGCTTCCACATCAAACATCTTAATAGCTTCCTCTCCAATTTGTACCGGGTCGACCGTGCAGGGCGTGACAGCCAGCAGCTTCGAGTCCAGCTTCGACATAGTCAGAATGTCGTCCACAATCCGCTTCTGGTGCTGAGCACAGGCAACAATCGTCTCGGCGTTTTCAATGCTGTCGGAAAGCAGCTGCTTCACGTCTAAGTGCCTGTCTCCATTCTCCTCCGTTGATGGCTTGTATTTTGTCACGGGGGTACGCGGGCGTCCAACAAGCTCTTCGCATCTCGCGAGGGAAGCAATGATGGCGTCAGAACAGTGGACAATGGCACTGAGAGGGTTGCGCATTTCGTGAGATGTCATGTCGATGAAGTTGTCCTGCTGCCGCTTCGAGTCGATGGCTTCTTCGGTACGTTGCGTTTCCAGCTCAAGCTGCCATTTTTGCAGGGAAACATCGCTGATGCAGCCAGTAAACGATTGGACGATGCCATCCGAGTTGCCGACTGGCATGAAGGTGGCATTTACCCATCGCGGTGCCGTGATCTGGTTTCCTCCGGCATCGTCAGCTGTCCAAGTGGTTTTCAATCGGATTTCAGCGGTCTGCGGCTTCTTCACGGATATGAGGCGGTTTAAGCTCTCGGTCAGGATCGGGAGGTCCTCCTGGACCACAGACACTTGCCACGGCCTCACTTCGCGTTGCATTGGATCAACCTTCTCGATGCCACACAGCTCGAAGAAAGCATTGTTTGCACCAACCAAACGTCCTGCGGTATCCATGTCAAACATTCCCACTGTTGCCAGCTCCGCCATTCTCTTCAGGTTCTCTGCCTGCTGAGTCCTCCTGGTTGCTTCGTCAGCCGTTCTCTTGTGTGCTGTGACGTCCGTCAGGCAGGTGAAAGTTCGAATAATGGTTCCATCCATGGAGCGTTCCGCCTTTGCTTGGGCCATGACATACCGCTCCATTTCATCATCGAGGTCGCTGCACAAATCGGCCTTAAATGGTGAGCGGCGCGAGAGGAGTCCGTTGGTGTGCTCAGTTCCTCGTACGCGGAACTCAAACTCAACCTCGTCTTTTGTCCGCAGCTCTTTGTATGCCTCGCGTATCTTTTCTCGATCTCCTTCAAGAACATAAGAGAATGCGCCCCCATCCTCAGCCTGGCTGTCGGGGTAGCCTGTGATGCGATACCAAAGGCCATTGGCGAATGTGATGTTCCCTTGGTGGTCTCCGATAGAGAACCCATTGGGGATGAAGTCGGATACGGTTTGGAACAGCCTTGTATACTCAATGGCCTCCTTTGTTTGGTAAGCAAGCTTTTCTTTCAGCATAGCCTGGTCATAGGCGGCCTGTTCAGCTGCATTTCGTCCCCTTCGCCTTTCTTCCTCCAACAGGACAGTGCATGCTAATGATGTGGTTAGCTTTTGGGCGAGAAGCTGGATATACAGTGTGTAGGCATCGTCATATGGCCGTCGAGGATTCAGCCCAAGCACGAGCAGCCCCATGACTTCTTCCTCCTTCGTCGGTCGGATGGGCAAGACGATGGCTGCTTCGCACGGGTCACCAAAACCACGCCACTGCAAGCCCGTCAGCAGCTCCTTCGGCAAGCTGCCGTCGGAGGTGCTGATGATCAGTGGTCCATGGCTGCGCAACGCTGCACGGTACTGTGGGGCCAGACCCGCGTCTGTTGCCCTTAGACGCAGGTACTCAGGCATGATCGGGTGGTGGGCTGGAACGCCGAGAGCCCCCTCCAAACGGCAGATGTAGTCGAAGTTGTGTCGCGACTCGCTGCCAGATTCCGACGAACCCTCGCGCTCAATCGAATACAGCATAGCGAGCGGGATGTCGTACGCCGGGTCGCATTCTGAAAGCTCTTCGATGAGCTTGCTCCAGTACGACTTGACGTCCTTGGCGGTCACCAGTTCCTCGCCCATGTCGACCAGCATCTGGATTCGCCTGCGGAAAAGGTGGTACATGGTTGTGTCGGATATCAGATGGATGAATCCGAGGCATTCGCTGTTGTGGATGACGGGGACGAGGGACCATTTCAGGTAGGTTTCCAGAGGAGGGCCGTCTCGTTGTTCGACGAAAAAGCAGAACTCCTCCTCGCTGCTTGCCCGGCGACTCTGTCCTGGATTCTCCATCATGCCTCTCAACTGATCCGTGATTTCTGGAAAAGCTTCCGTCACAGGACGGCCAAGCAGATTGGGGTGCCGCGAGCCGATCATCTCTCCGTATGCCTCGTTGTAGACGGTGGTAAACTTGGGTCCCCAGTACATGGCCGTGGGCTGGGAGTTGCACAAAATCTGGCTGTAAGACTGATGCAGCATGGAAGGCCATCGGTCCATGGGTCCTAATGGAGTTGCGCTCCAGTTGACGCTGTCAACCATATCGAGGAATGGCTCCTGATCCGGCATGAAGTCGGGCAAAACCAACGGAGGCTCGGTAGTTGCTCGAACGATACGAGGATGCGGGAGATCCTCTTCAGATGAGTCTGGTGAAGACATGGACGGAACAGTAGAGGTGTGCGGGTGCAGGATCCCGCTGCTGGATTCTCGTCCTCGCGATCCGTCGAGGCGTATCTTCCTAGGCGGCTCTGTCATGGGCGGGAAGTCGTTGGAGCTCACCACGACCCATTTGGATTGTACAACAATGCGAGTCCAGAAGTGGTTGTTATACAAGAAGGACTGCGGTGGGTTTACGTCCTGTGCGGTGATCCAGTCCCAAAATCTCGTGTGGTCGAGGCTCGATATGGACTGTAACACCTCGAGAAGGGCGGGCTTGCCTGTCAAAGCTGGGTTGTTGTAGACGACCTCGGCGCGAGAGGGATCCTTGAACGAAGCAGCAAGGGCAACAACAAAGCTCGGTCGGGGGTCGGACTCGAGCAGGTCAACAACGCCCACACCGAGGAGCGGGGGAGGATGCATGACGGCGGGCAGGATGTGAGTCGTCCGCTCAGCCAAGGGATCGGCAAGTGTTGTTGTCAGTATCTGCGTTTTCTCTCATTCTCAACCAATGGGCGTCTTTGGATCGGGTCCTGGACTCAGACCAATAACACTCTTGGGGGTGTTTCTTGTGCTTCTTTGCTTGGCTCCTAAGTCGGTGTCGGTCCCGCCGGTGAAGGTAAGTAAAGTTCGAGTCGGCAGGCGCGATGTGCGAGCAGGGCGAGTCACGGCCTTGGGGGGAATTTTGTTTCTCGATGCAAGAGAGGAGATGCGGGAGACGCGCAAGGCAGGTGGACGAGAGAAAAAGCGCCAGAAGCGAGCCGGGGTGGTGTGCGCAAAGTGGCGCAAAGTGGATGAGGCAGACGAGGGTGCCAATGTGGTCGGTCCGGAAGCTGCGATTCTGCTTTGCCGGGTGGAGATGGGCGCGCACCGCGGCACACCCAGCCTGTTGTTTCCTGGCCGGGGGTTGACGTTGAGCTTCAAAGCCGGTAAATGTAGGGCGGGTCAGGACTAGGTAAAGTACTGAGCAGGCTGCAGGATCCCCGGCCAACCTTGTCGGATCAACTGGACGCGCGGGATGTTCGCCGTGAGATGCGTTGTTGTCTTTTTGGAGTTGTGGTTGTTGTGGTTGTGGAAATCTGCAGTGCTGGATGTGGATATCGGACCTTGGCCGACGTCGCCTTGGGTTGCGACAGAGTGAATCCGGAGAAGGATGGAGAGGAGGGGACAAGAAGAATGCGAGAAGGGAACTTTTCCCCCCCTTCTGTCTGGGAAGGCTTGCGCGTGGAATGATGGAATAACCAAGGATGCAAGCGTCCCGTCTCGTATGTGGGAGAAAAGACGAGATGACAACCAGGCGGGAGCGGGAGAGGTAAGACGTGGGAGACGGTCGAGGAGCGGACAGGCCAGGACGGAGGAGGACGACCGTTCTCGGGGTCGGTTTGGGGGCTGAAGGAACGGCGTCGCAATGTGGCTTGTTACGCAGATGGCGGTCTTGTCCAAAATAAATTTCGACCTTTTGGTTGGTGATCTTTGTGTTTTCTGGTCTTTTTCGGGACGACGGCGACCGTGACTCTGACTCCCCCGTGTCGATCCCTTTGCTTTGTCGTCCAAGAGCGGCCAGGGCAGACCTTATTTCTGGTGGCACCGTACCTACGCACTTGTGCGGTGGTCACCTCCGTTGGATGTCGGGGGTCGGGGGAGATTGGAAGCTCAAGGTGACAATGGAGGTGATAAAAAAAGCAGAGAGATGGCCGTAGCTTACGGAGTCTGGTCCTAGGGCAGGTGGAAGCCGGGGTTGTTGGGTGGGCATGGGACTGGGGTTGAAGAAACTGAGGTGGTCGGGCTGGGCGGGAAGCAGACCGCAGCGATCACCGGTGACGACAACGGGAAGTGACAGACAGGAACAGACTGAACGGGAGGCATGTCTCTGCTATCGTGACTGACCAGATGGAGCTTTAGCTAAGGTAATCGACCTAGGTAGGTAGCTACAAAAGAGGACGCAAAGCCTCGGGAAACGCACTGGAAACGTCTCTAGTCGATCAAGACTTGACTTGAATAAGCGAGGGGCTGCGGTGGTAGTAGGTGGTTTTGAACGGCCTATTGCTGTAGTGCTTCCGTCGCTTTCCCCTTTTCGATGGCGCGTCTCAGCCCTCGTCGACGGCAGCAGCGTTTCTCTCTCCCTCTGCCTCTGCTAAGGTAATGCTAAGGGCCAATGGCAGGGACGGCGGTGACGGCAGCGTGATAGGCAGGCAAAGAGGTGAGAGATGGTGATCGAGCGGACCAAAGCCACGCAGCACAAAGCGCATATCACACAGGCCGGGCACACACACCAACACACAAATACCATGTAGGCAGGCACACCCACACGGTACGGGGACATGGCTCCCGGAATCCCAGGATCGGGACTCGGTGAGCAAGGCAGACTCTGTCAGGTCTCTGTGTCTCTCTCTCTCCATCGTACCCATCTATTTTTGCTGCTTTTTCTGCCTGCTGCAAGTCTGCTCGCTGCCAACATCGCATCCCCGCAACGCACATTAATGGTG